CTTATTAGGCCAATGCTCTACCACTGAGCTACATCTCCAGCATGCTGTGTGTGTTCTGATTGCTGCACTACTGGTCTCTGTCTCTCTCCATCTCCTCGGGCGTCCCTGTTCCCTAAGACACACAATACACCAATTAATAAACCTAAAAGGCCCCTAAGGGCTCAAGTGAAAGGAAGAGCTGCAGTTCTCTCACTTTAATCCAAAAGTTAGATGTGACTGAGCTTAGTGAGGAAGGTATGCTGAAAACTCAAGACAGGATGAAAGCTAGGCTTCTGGTGCCACGTCACCAAGTTGTGAATGCAAAGGGAAAGTTCTTCAAGAACGTTAAAAGTGCTACCTCAGTGATCACACAAATTACAGGAAATCAAAACAGTCTTATTACTAACACAGAGTTGTGGTGGTTTGGACTGAAGACCAAACCAGTTACAACACCCTGAAGTCAAAGTTTAACTCAGAGCAAGGTCCCAAGTCTTTTCAATTCTATCAAGGCTTGCAGAAATGAGGAAGCTGCAGATGAAAAGTCTGAAGCTGGCACAGGCTGGTTCATGAGGCTGAAGGGAAAAAGCCATCTCTAATACGAAAGTGCAAGGTAAAGCAGCAGGTGCTGGTTTAGAAACCGCAATGAGTTATCAGAAAGAACTAGCGAATTAATGAAGTTGGTTACCCTCAACAACGATTTTCAGTGTAGAAAAAACAGCCTTCCACTGGAAGAAGTGTTCTAGAACTTCTATAGAGAGAAGCCAATGCCGGTTTCAAAGGACAGTCTGCAGATGGGCATGGTGGTGCATACCTCTAATGCCAGCACTTGGGAGGCTGAGGCACAAGGATCACTGCAAGTCTGAGGACAGCCTGGGCTACATAAGTGAGTTCAAGGCCAGCCTGTACTTCACAGTGGCCACTCTGTCTCAAAAAACCAAAACAAATAAACAACAAATGAGAATCTCACTCTCTTTTTAGGGGCTAATGAAGCTGGTGGCTCAAAATTGCATCCAGTATTTATTTATCATTCTGAAAATCCTAGGGCTCTTAAGGATCATACTATTAGGAGGGTGAGGCAGGAGGACTGCAAGGTCCAAGACAGTTTGGGCAATTTAGTGAAACCCTGTCTCAAAACAAAAAAATAAAAAAAGGCTGGGGATGTAGCTCAGTGCAAAGGCCCTGGGTTCAATCTCCAGCACTGGGTTGAGTGGGGAGAGGGGGGAGAAAAAGAAAAAAGAGCCATACTAAATACAAAGCTTAGATGACAGCACCTCTGCTTACAACATGGCTTGTGCACATGTTAAGTCCACTGCTGAGACTTGCTGCTCAGAACAAGACTCCTTTCAAATATTATAGTTCACTGATCACATACCTGCTTACCCCAGGGTCCTCACGGAGTAAAATGAGACTGCTGACACAACAGCCATTCTGCAGCCCACAGGCCAAGGAACAATTTTGATTCTTCACATCATATCACTGATGCCACACATGGTGATTCCTGGGATGGATCTAGGCAAAGTTAATGTGAAGTCTTCACCATTCTAGATGCCATTAACCACTTATGACTCACGGAGGAAGGCAAAATACCAACATCAACAGAATCTGCAAAGAACTTGATTCCAAGCTCACTGATGAGCGAGAGCTTCCTGACTTGAGTGCAAGAGCTTACTGCAGATGGGGTAGGGAAGCAAGGGAACTGGTGCTAAGACATGGAGCCTGGAGACGGTGACTGAATGGATGGGGTTTCATGACACAGCTGTAACGGAAGAGTTGCTTCTGATGGATGAGCCAAGAAAATGGTTCCTTGACATGGATCCACTGGTGGAAATGCTATGAACATTGCTGGATGACAACAAAGGACTTAAGAGTAGTACATAAACCTAGTTGATAAAGCAACAGCAGGGGTAAGAGGCACTGACTCCAATTTTGACTATGAGTAAAATGCTATCAAAGTATGGTGTGGTATAGAGAAATCTTGCTTGAAATAAAAGCAACTGATGGAGCAAACTGCATGGCTGTCTTCCTTTAAGAAATTGCTGGAGGGGGCTGGGGATTTAGCTCAGCGGCAAAAGCGCCTGCCTGGCAAGCGCAAGGTCGTGAGGTCGGTTCCTGGTACCGGAGAAATAAACCAAAAAAAAAAAAAAAAAAAAGAAATTGCTGGACATCCTAACCTTCAGTAACCACCCCTCCCCAGTCAGCAACAAAAGGATTATCACTTGCTGAAGGCTCAAACGACTGTCAGTATTTTTTTCAGCAATAAAGATCTTTTAAATTAAGCTATGTATATTTTTTAGATGTAATGCTGTTGTACACTTAGACCACTGATGAGTATAGACGTAACTTTTGTGTGTATTAGGAAAGAAAAAAGTCACATGACTAGTTTTACTGCCATATCTGCTATGGAACTGAACACACAGTATCTTCAAGGTATGCCTGCATATTTTTAGCCTCAGAGCTCTTTAAACTTCCACTTATTCTCTCAGAGCCAAAACATAATGTGGCTTCTAGTAAGGTATAAGGCAGGAAATTTCTTTTCTGGGGTGGATAAGGAAGTTGGTTATGCCTGGCAGGAAGAAGTGAGACCCCTGTTGGTGTAACAGCACTGCTGTCTCCCCTTCCTGCGCCAGCAACGTGAGAGGCCTACAGTTCTGGCCCAACTTCCTTTCCTGCACAGAGCCTCGGTGCCTGCTCCCAATGCACTAGAAACTGAGCTTTGTGAGGGTACAGGCTTTGATTTACTTATCTTCGTACACAGAAACCACAAGCAGCAAAGCAGGTGGCACTTAACCAACACATTTTTATTAAATGAATGTTATCATCCTAAAGGAAACACACAAGCAGACTGAGACCCAGCTCATCTGCTCGTATAGGTAATAAGTGGTACTTCCACGGCTTTACTCTTAGCCCACCTATGAGATCTCTTAATGGCTATAAATGTGACACTGTAAGTGAAACATGAAAGAGAAAAAGACAGTAGGAAGATCTGAAGTAGAATTCTGAAAATGGAATCCAGTCTAAAGAGAGTCCCTGCTGCCCGGCTTGAGTAATCTAGGAGACTGTTAGGACAGGTGGCCTGCCAAACTAAAATAGCAGACTGGATTCTTCTATTACAGCAAAAAGACACACCATGGAAGTTATTGCTACAAAAGAAAAACATTTTAACAGGGATATCTTATTGTGATAATAAAATTAAAATAAAAACCTCAACATGTAAGGCAGAGACATGAAAAGATACTCAAGTTCTACTGAGTAGGAAAAGAGCAAATAAATAATACACAGTTTGATTTTGGTTTTGGATTTAAAAAAATGTCAGCACATACACAGAAAATACCACACAGAAAATAAAGCACATACACAGAAGGAATATAATCTAAACTGTTAACAGAAATTAATTCTTGGGGATAAAATTCCCAGGAGAATTTACAGGTTAGCGGGGAGAGAGCACTTTCTACAATTTATATTTTTGTAATGTTTGCATTTTTAAAAAGAACATATACTATCTTTGTCATCGGGGAAAAAAAGAAACTGAAAACGTTTTGTGTCTATGTTTAAAGAACGTCAGAGAGAAGTACTATTTAGTGACCCAAAATGGTGCCGTGAAGCAGAGGCTCTGCCAGGGTGACCATGCGCCAGCGCAGGACACGAGTGCACGTGGTCCCCACACTTGCCCCAAGCTCCTAAGCGGCAGCATCTGATTTTCAATATATTACACTGAAGTTCTGCCACCAACAGGTCTAGGAACTGCTGATCTAAAATATGGGTAAATAATTAATTTTGAAGGTTCCTCAAGGACTTGCTGAGGTTTGTGCAGGTGCCCCAGGAATAGCAGCAGGCTCTGTCCCTCTGACTCCTGTGCACAGGAGCCTGGTGGCCAGCTGCTGTGAGCAGAAGGTCTGCTGCGCTAAGGAGCTGCCTGGAGACAGGCGCGGTGCTTTGTGGGGAAGGTGCCTCTGTCAAGAACCTGCCCACGCCCCACCACACGGCCAGCCTCTGGGAATCGTGCTCTACCGTGCATGGGCAGCAGACTGAGACCACCACAGACTGCTTCTACGTGAAGGGCAAGGTGAGTCTGAGCACTAGATATACGACAGTGACTTTTTATTTTTGAGACAGGGTCTCGTTATGCAGTTCAGGCTGGCCTTGAACTTACTATGTGGCCAAGGCTGGCCTCAAACTCCCAGCCATCTTCCTGCCTCACTCAGCCCGAGTGCTGGGATCACAGGTGTGTACCACCACGCTCAGCCTTGGTCAATGACTTTTTAAAGCAACCCTCTTGAAAGAGGATACTTTTCTTTTCCTTCTTTCTTTTTCTTTTTTTGGAGAAAGGATCTTGCCATGTATTCCAGGCCGGCCTCAAACTTGTGGTGATTCTCCTGCCTCAGTCTCTGGAGTGGTGGGATTATAGGTGTGCACCACCACACCTGGGTGAGGGTGATTTTCTTTACAAAATTCTTCTCTAATGGCTTTTTAAACTCTAGTTTTATTAAAGAGAAAAACCTGACTTCAGAAGATATAAATGGATGGTTTTAATATTTGAGCTAACATGTCTGCACTCTCAACATGGAAAAGAATGACTTCTAAGTTTTTAGCTTAGCTACGTATTATCTGCAACGATCCAGGAAAATCTTTGAAATGAAATTCCTTCCCCTGTGTGTTTATTCCTCCTGCTTTTCACAGTCACATCCTCATCTGGATTCTTATTGGGCTGAAACTAATATGGCGTTTTCTGTTTACTACATCAGTGCTTCCTTAGCGAGGTGAGGCAGCCCAGCCCGGCTCTCAATTTCTGCCTCAGAGCCAGCAGGGGGAGCTCATTCACACAAGACTCTGTAGCCATCTACAAGGGGATGGTGGGACAAATTCAACTTTCTTCAGTGACAGTGGCCTTTCTGCATGTGGGTGAATTACCATGCAATAAGCAACAGGTTCCCGACGGTGGTTCTCAGAGGAAGGGAGCAGGGGAAGCCCAACAGTCATCACCACAGGGCACTGCCCGCAGCAGATGTGTGATCTGCCCGTACCTGTTTTTCAAGGCTTGGCTTGCTAAGCTGTACAGTCTGAGGTCCAGCGAGTCTGGTCCCTGGAGTAGCTATCACAATGCTGGTGAGCTGGGCCATGGGGAATGTTTTGGCTATGGTTGCGGTCTGCCCATTGACGACCCGGACAGGGTGGATGGAATTCTGGGATGTGGGGAGGGTCGTGGGGGTGAACTTGGTCAGCATGACAGGCCTCTGGATAAGCTGAGGAGCTGCAAGCATGGGCGGAGGCGCTGGGGCGATGGGAATGTTATTCTGGGCCACAGGCTTGGGTCGAACCTATAGGGGAAACAAAGAGTAATTATTATATTACTTAAATAAATTTCTCAAGTCTTGTAGGTCTACATGGCGTATCTTCCACATACTATGTATGTGAAATACTATTTAATATAAATGCTTATTAATATTCATTTAGTACTATTAATTCTACAGACCTCAGGACATATAATGGTACAAAAAGGCTCATTAGCACTAAGGGAATCCAAATGCTACCCTGAACATAGTACCTCCAAGTCTAATGCCACAAATTCTTCTCATACCCATGCCACCTCTTCAGGCAAAAGTTCAGAGGTTGATGCAAAAACTGTCCCACCCAGAACTTGTGCCCAGAATGGTGACAGTGTTGCCGATGGCTTGGATTCACATTCTCAATTTCCACATATCCACAGCTAGTTTACCCTCTAACTCCAGCCCTCTAACACCTTGTGCTTGGCTTCTCTGTCTCTTCTGTGGGTTTACGCTTCCTCTGCCCAATCTTAAATGTGGCTGTTTCTCAGGCTTCTGTCTTAGAAGCCTTCTTTCTCTACTACCTTTAGTCTTCCTGGGACCTCTTACTCATCCTGTAGCTTTAGTCACCATCTCACTAAAGACCCGTGCATTCTCTTCTCAGGAGCAGAGACATTGCCTGAACTTCAGGATCATGTGCAACTGCTGTCAGACATTTCTACTGGACATCTCACAAGAGGTTCAAAGTCACCATGTCTCAAATACACCAATTCTTCCTCTTTCTTTCTTTTTCGGTGGGGTGGGGGCAGTTCTTTCTTGAGATAGGATTTCACTATGCAGTTCAGGCTGGCCTTGAACTCAGTGATCCTACTGCCTCAGACTCCTGAGTGCTGGGATTACAAGTATGTGCTACACACTTCCTAGCCTTGATTCCATAGCCTTGATTCTATATGTTTAAATATACTTGTTTGTTTGGTTTTAGTTTTTATAAGGGGGGGGTGTTGCTATTGTTGTTGCATTACTGGGGATTGAACCCAGGCCACTGCGCCTGGCTAAGTATAGTTTTATTTATCATGGTTTCAGTTAAGCCAAACATAAGCTAGTATAGCAACAATGAGGATAGAATGAAATAGATACGAAAAGTATAGAAAGTAGAGGTAGAGGGGTGGGTGTGGTGGCACATGCCTGTAATCCCAGCACTAGGAGGCTGAGGCAGGAGGCTCACCTCAAGTTCAAGGCCAGCCTGGGCTACACAGTGAGTTTAAGGCCAACCTGAACTGCATAGTGAAGTCCTATCTCAAAAAGAATGCCTCCTGAAAAAAGGGGGAAAGAAGGAAAGAAAGAAAGAAAGAAAGAAAGAAAGAAAGAAAGAAAGAAAGAAAGAAAGAAAGAAAGAAAGACAAGGAAAGAAAGAGGAAGGAATTAGTGTGTTAGAGGATAGACTGTAGAGTCCAAGGGCAGCCTCAGCTACATAGTAAATTCAAGGCCTAGCCTTCTACAGCAAGACCTTCTCTTAAAAACAAAAATGAAAACAAAGGTATCAGTCTTTCCTAGGTTCACAAACCCTGTTTCTAACACTTATAAAGTGTGTAACCTCAGGCAGAATACCAGATCTTTCCAAACCAGTTTTTAAAAACTGTGACCCTATGGGTAAAATCCTTTTGCCTATCCACAAGAATCTGACCCTTAGCTAAATTTCTAGCTCTGTTCTCCAAGAAACCCACTAAAGGCAAGAATGTAACTATGTTACCAAACACACACGATAAAAGCTTGTTGTTGCTAAATCAACAAGAGGTCATTAAACTGAATCTGAATGGAGAAGACCATAAATACTTCAGAGGACACCATGCTTCGGGCTTCCCTAAGAGAGGTGACCGTCGTACCTTGGGCACACCCCTTGCAGAGATCTTAAATGTCACACTTAAGACCTGTCACAATATATATTGGCTTCTAAGTGCACCAGCTTCTATGGATGAGTGGCTCTCCCACTGTCCTAGATAAAGGTCTCATGTCCTTGAACCTGAGGTATCTCTGGACAGCTACAGAGACTGCTGACTGGGCTGCGATGGGCACTCCTATTGAAGAAAACTGTCCGACACTGTCTTCTTGGCAAGCTGTGGTTTCTGTTCTGTATCATTTCCAAGTAGACTGGTGCCAAGTGTGGCCCATGATAGTCTTGTGAGCTTGAAAATTTAGCTTAACTTACAATGGCCTTGTGGTGATGCATGTCTATAAAGCAAAAGTTTTATGAAATGAAGTGCATGGTACGAACTATCAAACTCCAAAACTGGTTTTACAGCCTGCTATGGGTTGCGACCCACCGTTAGAAAAACATGGACTAAGTCTAAGATTCCTTACCTTAAAAAAAGTCATGCCTACTTTCATAGCGTTATTATGAGGATTCAAATAGACAGCCTATGCAAAACGCTGCGCCCAGTATGGTACCTGGTATTCAGCAAGGTTCTTCAAACCTTAGCTACGATCATTGATGTCCTTCCTGCTCCTCCTGCCCGCAGTCTTGACTGTCCCTAACTTATTCTTCGCACGGTGGCGAGACAGAACTTCCAAAGTGTAGGTCTGACAGGTTAAGTCCTCACTTGAAAACGCTTTCCTGGGTCCCCACTGCCGAGATGCTCCATGACCAGGAAGGTGTGCAGGCTCCGGCCTCTCTTCTTCTCCGGCCTCCTCTCTCCAGCCTGCCGGGACTGCTGTGTGGCCACTGCAAATCTCTCTTGGTTCCTGAACTTCCACCCCTCTCACCACTCCACACACAGAGTGTGTGTCCTTCTACGGAGGACAGTTTTGTGTCCCCCTCCCAAACATTCTGAGGCAAATCTTGTGAGGTGTTTAGGTCCCCGACTGAATGCCAACTATTCAGGGAAATCTTGAGGAAACTGTCCCTAATATGCTGAAGAACAGGTGCTGTGTCCTCCTCAGTCTACTCTGTACATGCATGACGGGCACTGTAACTGCCTCGGGTATGCTGAGGGCAGAGAGCCATCTGGCACAGCTGCAGTGCTTACTACAGTACTTGTTATCTCAGGTTTTTATTAAAGATGTATCTGATAATGGCTGAAATAATTGTGTATCACGTTAGTGCTGTTCATCCTCTCCCAAAAAGTTATAAATTGTATCAGGGAGCCCCAAATCCTTTCTCTTTTCTTTGCCTGAAACCTAGGCCTGCAGACAGTAACTCTTAGTTTCTCTACCGAGCAAGTCAATATCCTGCAGCTCCAGTGGAGGACAATCCTAGCTTCTGCCTCGAGAAGGGTAAGGGTCAGTCTCAGTACCAGAAGCACTCTCAGGGAAAAAGTCACGAGCCAGCTGCTGGAGCCAGGAGAAGCTCCCTATGCAGATCCCTACCCTGAACCTCTGAAAGCAAGATTTATGTTTAAGCCTGACGCTCAATATCACAACTTTCCAGAGCAAAACTGAGTGGTTTCTATTGGCTAGTTTGGTTGTTTTCTTCCCTACTCTTTCTGGTAACCAGGAAAGAAATGAAAAGTGGTAATTGCATTCTTTTCCCACTCCCAGGCACGTTCTGGTACATTCTTCCAGCAAATTAACTTTGTAAGACTTATAATGTTGTTACTGTGATTGCTTTACATTTAGGAAACTCTTTTTCCTTTACTTCCTTCTGCTACTGCCTTTGGTCACTGCTGACAAACCATGATGATAGAGTAAGCTTTTCCTCGAAGAGAAATCGGTCGACAGAATCTATAGTTAAGTGGGCTCTGAATACAGTGGAACTGGTCAGCCTACTTCTGCGAGGCTGCCCTGAGAAGGCCCATGAGGATTTCGATCTCACTTGCCCACCCTGGGCTTCGCTTGGTTTACTCACCTGTGGAAGAAAGTTTGGACGTGGAGTGAGTCTAGGAGGAGGGATAAACTGTGGAACTTTGATGGGCTGAGGAGGTGTTGCCTGAACCTGCTAAACAAATGGGAAAAGAAATCAGGGCGAGGGTAGTTCAGTAGCAAAGGTCAACATTCTTACAGTATTTTCAGTATTCCAGTATTTTCCACATTGGACAACACTGTCTCCAAGCTTTTGCTGTGGAGTTAACTACTTGAACTAACACAGCATTTGGAACCTTTCCCTCCACCTGCCTGCTTTGCCCCATAAACCAACCATATTTGTTTCCTCACTCAACAGGCTCAGCGATCTTAGACTAGTTCCTCTGATACCTGAGAACTCGCGTGCTTACCTATTTTTAAAAGCCAAGACTGGATTGAAAGTAAAATCAACTGGTGCCTAGCTAACTGGGTTTTCTCCTGAGCTAGGCCCTTTACCCAACAGTGAATGGCTTTATTCCCATAAAGAATTTTCCCTCAGTAACCAAGTGATCAAGCTGCTTCTCTAAGGATTCCTGGGGAAGTGGCTAAGCTTCAGTTTGCTGCTCTCCGGTTTAACTCACTGTTGGTCGTTACTGAAAAGCCATTACAGCTCTTAGCTGCCATGTTAAAAGAATTTTTATATCCTATCTGGATGCAGTTCCCTCGAGCTTGCAGGAACATCAGTTTCTAAAAGGGCTCAATCCTAGAAATCTAACAAAAAAACCTCTCGTTTAAGTACTTTCTTCGAGGGATTTTTTTCCCCTGATAGAACCTGGCTACTGATATATCAATCTGTGAGTTTCTTGAGTATTTTCCAAGTGTCTCAACCAACAACCAGTACTTCCTGGTGGCATTCAGTGTAAAGGGATAGTGAACTATAAGAATCTAGGAAGGAGTCTTGGCCACAGCAGCAATACAGTGCAGGAGTTTAAACACTCAGGCTTCACAGGAAGGACAGCAGATAGGGTGGAGGAAGAGGTGAGTGAAGGACACATTTCCCAGAAATATAAAGCCGTATTTTGACTGCAGATAATGCACTGACTCTGGTCCCTGTGTCAGGACACCTCTGCGGTTAACTGGGCAGACAGGAATGCTATATTCCCTTGTCAGGCCCAAAGGGAACATGGTATGCCAGAAAAATGACAAGAACTAAGATATCCAGCAGGGGCCTACAATGGATACACTGAACAGATGCATACCCTGAACCCTCTCATATGGGCACACGTAAGTAGCAGCTGCTGGCTTACCAGAGTGACTGTGTTTTTTGCCACAATTTGGACAGCCTCTGCCCCAGGCCCAGTGACCTTACTAGACGTCTGGAGGTTGACTGGTGTGTTCTGCACATCAGTGCTGAGCACAGCCTTCTGACTGTTGATGGCGGTCACCATAGCAATGGTAGGTCTCTGGCCCACAACAGAGGCAGGCATGGTCGCAGTTGCTGCTTTCAAGACGAGAGGTAGTGTCTTTGTGGTAATCATAGAAGCTGTAGTTACAGTCTTCTAGGAGACACGGAGAACAGATATTAGGACACAGAAACGTGACCCCACTAAACAATATGCTGCTGAACTCCAGAACAAAACAAAGCAATAATTTTCATAGTCAATTAAATTTCCCTACATGAGCATATTTCTTTTGTGTACATAGAGCACACTCTTACTATAGGGAAAGATAATCTCTGGTTCACTGGTAATCTCAAATCAGTGTCATTTCTAAGTGGGCAAGTTCACTGTAAGGATTAGACCAGGATGGGCAGAGAACCAGGTGGGCTTACAGACAACGGACATAACTTCTAGTTTTCCTCATTCTCTGTGTGACATAATTTATATACAACTTGTAAATCAGTGAGGTACACATCATCTGCATTTCTATTTTAAATTGCTACAACCTCACTATTATGAAGAAAACCATCATAGAATTCTATTTATCTGCCTCCTGTGACACAGGGGGAAGGGACAGTGTTTCTTCACTTTTTTCAATGTCAACCTCGAGAGGTAGAAGGGAAACTCACATGAGGATTAGCACAAGTGCTGCCTCAGAAGCAGTAAATCCCAAGCCACTGCAAATCTCTCTTGGTTCCTGAACTTCCAGATAATGAAACATATTAACCAACTAGTATGGGAAATACTACTTCTTGATACCAAAGGGATGAGTCACTCCCTGTAATCTTTTCTCTAGAGAACTGCTGCAGAAGTGATCAAAGATTCAGTGAAACGTGACAAGGTGGAAACAAACACCGGAGTTTCAAAAAGCCTTGGAGATCAGAGGATGAACTGAAGGGAGAGGACTTGACTGATGCTTCCTAAGTGCTACGCAGCTCTGAAGCTGTATTTTCCTACACTTTTTACTAGAATAATTAAAAGTGCCAGTTACAAAACAAGTAAACAGTAACAGCCCCACTACTCAGCACACACATCTATCTGGGGCTACTAGTCACTCACGATGCAGGCATCTCAGGAACAGGGCAAGTTACCTGGTCTAACCTGTTGGTTCTGATACTGCATTCTTTCTTTCTCTCTATTTATATTGTACAAGTAGCTGCTATTTGTCACATGTGGCCATTCAAATTCAAATTACAAAGTTAAATTAAGACATCAGTTCCTCATTTGCATAGGCCATATTTCAAGTGTTCAAAAAGTCACGCGTGTCCAGTGGCTGCCAAGCTGGACAGCAAAGACAGAGCATTTGCAACACCGCACAAAGTTCTACTGGATAACACTGTTCTAGATCCACGCAAAGTAACCCCCTGCTTCCTGCAACATACTACCTGTACAGCTTGCACTCACGAATTTCTACAACAGTGTATATGTAAGTACTTGTGTACTAAGCACTTTGGTTGTGATTATTTTCCTTTTCTACCACCTACAAACATACATGTTTTGTTTTCCCAGTCATGGGGATCAAACTCAAGGGTGCTCTACGACCGAACTATCCCCAGAACTAACCCCAGTCTGTCTATCTATCCTTCCTTCCTTCCTTCATTATTATTTTTTGTTTTTGTTTGGTTTTTTGAGACTGGGTCTTGTTTTGTAGTCCAGGCTGGCCTTGAACTCACTCTGGTCTCCAGGCTAGCTTTACACTCATGGTGATCCTCCTGCCTCAGCCTCCTAAGTGCTGGGATTACAGGTGTACAGCATAACACCCAGCTCCTGGTCCTTTTCATTTAGAGATGGAGTCTCACTAAGTTGTCCAGGCTAGCGTCCAACTTGCATCCGCCTGCCTCAGCCTCCCAAGTGGCTATGATGACAGGTATGCACCACTATACTCAGCTATAAATGCATCCTTTAACATCTCCTTTTATTTTTCTTTTAACAAAAATTTAGTGATATACAAAAGCTATAAATGCATCCTTTACTATCTCCTTTCATTTTTCTTTTAACCAAAATTTAGTGATATGGTCTCATGTATCCCATCCTTATTTGGCCTAATCAGCCATCCTTATTAATGATGCAATTAAAATCACCCAATATTTGTTTCATCTTCTTAAAGGCAACAACACAGGAGTAGCCTACTCTTTTTGTCACTGCCTTCTTGAATGTGTAATGGGGGCTACAGGTCATCTGCTTTCTATCACTGATGAAAACCAAATTAAACTAGCTATTTATCATTAGAACTATTGTAGCAGTACAATAGCAAGGACTGCACAATACCAGCTATTTGTAATAAGAGTTTTAAACACAGCATGATATTAGCCCTATCTTTCAATTTAAAATGTTTAAGTACAAAGAACTCTTTTCTTTCAGCACTGATGATTGAAGCCAGGGCCTATGCACTGAGCTAGCTACCTCCTCAGCCCTTTTTTATTTTGTGAGAAAGTCTCACTAAATTGCTAAGTTGAGCAGGCAGAGCTTGAACTTGTGACCTTTCTGCTTGAGCCTCTCAGAGTACTGGGATTACAGCCTGTGCCACCACGCCTGGCTAAATACAAAGAACTTCTCAATTCGCGAGCAAACCACACCTGATGGTCTTCGATTCCGGCCTACCACAGGTTATGGAAATAAAGCTCTGGTCAGCACAACTCAAATGGCGTGGATTTTAAGAACTGCTGTGCTTGTTGTTACTTCTTTAGAAGAAGTCGGAGTACTTTTGGTCCAAGGAATCAGTATTAATATTTTAAATAATCCTAAACTGCTTATTCTAGAAAATACTGACTAAAACCTCAAACCCACCTGCATTATGTATTCACCATTAACCCAATGCTGAAACCTAACAAGCTTGCTCACATCTTAGGTTAGCATTTTTTCTACTTTATAAACATTTAGTTGTGGCTAACTTCACTGTTATTTTAGCATTGATATAAGTGTATAATAAATAAGCACAAAATCTAGTACTATATGCTTCAATGGAAACTTCTTCAAGCATTTTTTTTTTTTGGTACCAGGAATCGAACGCAGGACCTTGCACTTGCTAGGCAGGCACTTGTGCCATTGAGCTACATCACCGGCTTGAAGAATTTATTTACTATTTATTGACACCTAGTATAGGCTTTTTAAGATTTTACTCCTGGCCTGGGGTTTCTTCTGTTCCAAATCTTAGGAAACAGAAAGCACTCCTGGAGGACCAGGAAATCCAAACATGTTTAAATGCTTCTGGCAGGAGGAAAAAAGACACAGAAAAGGAGCCTAAAAGCAAAGAAAATGACTTCTAGAGGCTGTGATTAGTCCTTGGCTAGTTAATGCTGTCTAAGTCTGATCATCTTCAAGAGAACCTAAACCTCATGAGAAGTTAACACAGAAATACAAGGCAAATACCAACAGCAAAATCTTTTTATTTTTGCTAAGCATTATTGCTTATCGGCAAAATATGAAGTATTATTTAAAACATTTTGATGCACTAATCAGAGCTCTGAGGGATTGTTACTATGGGTTCTAGCTAATCTCCACATTTATTTCAGATCGCTTAATTTTGGGTGGAAACTCACCATTGTTCACTAAAACAAACACAAATACAAGACTTCTTGTACAAGACACCCTTTGCCTATTGTGTATTTTCTTTTTTTTTTTTTTTTGGTTTTTCTCCGGTACCGGGAACCGAACTCATGACCTTGCGCTTGCCAGGCAGGCGCTTTTGCCGCTGAGCTAAATCCCCAGCCCCCCTATTGTGTATTTTCTGTTTGGTTTTATTAACTGTACTCTTATTTACATTTGTATTTTAGCATTAAAAACAACAGTTTGTGAATATAGGCTGAAGATAAAGGTATGCTTGTATACAAATATTCTATTAGCTTTTCCTATAAACTGGAAAAATTTCAAAATACTACACATACAAGACTGAGTTGGAGTTATCTACAGTTAAGTCCACAACTTACAAAAATTCAAGTTGCAAACTTCTACAGGTGTACTGTATTAAGACTCACTTTGCCAGATACAAATGAGTCTGCCTTACGAATGTTCTCTTGGAACAGAACTTATTCGTAAGCCTGGGACTTACTGTGCATACAAGGAACTGTTCCTACCTCTGCCTGCTAAAAGATTTCTTCGTTTCTTCCCCCCACCCCAGTACATGCTAATCACTTAGCTAGCATCTCCTGTCCCACACTGATTCCTTCATAGTTACTCCTTTCTGAAGTTACATATTTCAATATACTGCATATAATGTCCCATTTGTCCTCGTCCTTATGAACCTTTAACTGCTTCCCTAAGACTGCCAGAACATCCAATGTTTTGTCCTGCATGGAAGGTGCCCACCACAATTTAACCAGCTTTCCTGGCTTCTCTCCCTCTCCCATCCGTTTATGGCATCCACGCTCCAGTCACACCAGCCTGCTTGTTACTCTCAAGCCATGCACTTACTTTTTTGATTTCATATTTCTGTTCATACTACTTCTACACTCGTGATGCTCTTTCCCCTCTGCTCTGTCACTGGAATCCCATTCATCTGCCCAGGCCTGCTCACAGGCTGCCTCCTTTGAGAAGCACTTTCTGATCCCTCTAATTAAAAGTACAGTACTCCGTTCTCTAGTATCTCCACAGTTCTTTGCTGGTACTTTTATTTTACTCTGTTAGCAGTTTGCATTTTCTTCTTCCTTTTTAAGTTGCTGAAAACAGAAACTTTGTCTTGTGAATCTATTCCTCACATTGCCCAGCAAAGTGCCTGCACACAGTAAGGACTCAATAAATATTTACACAATGAATTAAAATTAATTAACATAATGTACCAGGTTCTTGGCAAAGATCATTATTCTTTACATAGTAGAACCTAGCACACTGACAGTGGTCAATAAATAATTGAATAAATATTACAGTTTACTGTAAAGACAAACAAAAACCTAAAGGATCCTTCAGGTTTTAATATTAAATCTTTGCAACACAAGTCTTGGTCAGGGGATTTTTAGAAGTCAGGTTTAATGTCTAATTTCCAAATAGCCTTGGAATGAAGAACAGGGAAAGAGTCCCATGCACTGCTCTAGCTATCTGATTTACAACAGAGGTTTTCTCTCCCCTTCTTTGCTTTGTTGCAGTGTTTGCATTCCCTTTTTTGGTCCTGTATGGTAGTACAGGAGAGTGATGGACAGGTTTTTCAGACAGAATACTGGGGTTTCAAATCTTGGCTCCAATACATGCTACCTGTATGATCTAGGTAAATTACTTAACCTCTCTGTGCATTACATGTTCTCTTCTAAAAATAAGACAGTAACACTTTCCTCATACAATTAGGGCAAGAAATGTATCCATTACACACATAGAGCTCTTAGGAGATCCTGGTGTGTAATAACCACTATTAAATGCTAACTATTGTTTGTCACTTCTAAAATGTTGTACATGAACCAGTCCAATGTCCATAAATGATTAATACTGAGTAAAATATAATCTTTTCCTCTACATAATGAAGGCTTGGGTGTGTGGGAAGAGTTCACAATTAAGTTTTCAGAAGATCCCACAGTCTTTGAAATATATAAATAAGTAAGTGTATTACACGCGAATATATATATTTTATGGGGAGGAATCTATAACTTTGAATAGTCTTAAAAGGATCTGTGATCCACAAGTGCCCAGAACTACTGTTCACTAGTCCCTTTAGTATGTAGAGATTAAGCCTGAATAGTTTTCTTCGCTAGGTGTCATTTCCAAATATGCCCTCTGGGTAACTTGATTATTTCACATATACTATATGCTAGTTTAAGTGCCCTTTTCAGTAAAAACATTTACACATTTACACTAAGCTAGAATATTATTAAATTGCCACTTCTTAGCGTTCTATAATGCTAGAGCATTCTATAGCGTTCTCTTTTTCTCTTGGGGTTTGTTTTTTTGCCTTTTCTTTGCAGGGGGTGTTGGTTTTTTGAGACAAGGTTGCACTATGTAGCTCAGGCTGGCCTCAAACTTGCAGCAGTCCTTCTGTCTTAGCCTTCTGAGTGCTGGAATTACAGGCGTGTGCTACCACGCCTGGCTCGTAGCTTTCTTTTGAGATTTTTACCAAAATAGACTCATATTCTCAACACCAGAGAACAGAATCACTTTCTCAAAACTATAGACTTAAAAGCAAATATTCTGTTTTTAGGAATAATAAAAACACATTGCCCTTTTGAATGTTTTTTTTTTTTTTTGCGGGGGGAGCTGGGGATATGGCTCAGCAGCACAAGCGCCTGCCTGGCAAGTGCAAGGTCCTGAGTTTGATTCCCAGTACCAAAAAAAAAAAAAAAAGAACCTGAATGTTTTTTTTCTCAACCTAGTCACAAGAGAACTAACCCTGGAATAGCTCCACACCTATTTGCTAAGAATCCCAGAAAAACAATTCCAGAAGAGGCCAAGTTCCACAGACTTTTAGAGCAACTGTAAATAAGTAATTCCAGACATTCAAAATAAGACTTTAATTCCACTAGAATATACAGGAATGATTTTCTTCTGTTACTGACTACCTTTCCTGCCTTCTCTGAACAGGTGTAAAGTTGATTTTACTTCATGGTAATGTTCCTTCTTTCTGTCAGTGAATTTCAGGAGATTCATACTCCAGTTACAGTTTTTTAAAAAAAGAAACCAGAAAAACCTTCGTTTAGCACTAGTTGAACTTAGAACAGCTGAAACAGGTCCCAGTTCTGTGTGGCTCACGTGGAGTCAATCTCCATTACAGAGCTGCAGCGCACATGTGCACTTTACCTGTGAAGCAGTCAAGGTGGGCGAGGGTGCAGCTGACTGCTGGGTGTGGTGGTGGTGGTACTGCTGTTGTTGCTGGAGTTGCTGGAGTGGTTGCTGCTGTGCTGTTTGTAGTTTGTTTTCAGATTGTGGCAATGGCTGTATCTGGAACTTGTCTGGTTGTTCTTGCTTTACTATCAGGTTCTTCCGTAGCTGTTCAACTACTCTTTTCTACCAAGTGGAGACAAAAAAGAAATAAAATCTATCAGAATGCTGTTTTGTCAGCTGCATGGAAATACACAGCAACTATATTCCTCTGACATCTTTTCTATTAACAGCTTCATGTAAAACTTGTTACACACAAAACTCATACAGATTCTACATATGAGGAGTTCCATGAACTTAACAGACATTACCATAAATATAGGAAACTGAAGCATACAGATGAAAAAAGTAAAAAGAGATCATATAACCGAATTCAGATGTCTTGGCTATTATCAGCCTAGCACGGTAGGCTGGAAGGGCGGAAGAGCACAACAGGAAGAGGACAATTCTAGAGTTCATACTGCTGCTGTTGAAAGTTAAATTTATATTCTGATCAACTACAGGATAATGAGCAAGTGTCCTGGCCGACCTGGGCCTCTAAGTCCTGGTCCAAAAATGACGTGACTGACAATATCCTTAGGGTTCTCATGAGCACCACGTCTATACACACACACACACACACACACACACACACACACTATTACCTTGGTACACCAACTTCTATTTGCAAACAATTTGGTTCGACAGCAAAAGCTTTCAGCAAAATTTTGCTTCTGTTCGCAAATACCAGATCGAGTGAGAAACATGAGCACAGCCATCTTCCCCAAACACAAACACAGCCATCTTCCCCCAAATCGTAAAACAAATCAAGTTCGTAAAATGAGGTGCCACTCTATCTATATATACATATAAAGTGCCCACAACTGTGATTAGCACATTATTATTGCTCATTATTATCTGTATACCGAATGAAATGGATACCAAGCCATCCTAATATGTATTAATAAAACAAACATGATGTATCTATCCAAGTTTGAAACATTAAACAATGAAACCATGATCCCAGGAATATGCACAATAAACAACCAATATTTTAAATAACTGACACATTTAATTCTTCAGGAGAACCTCTCTGCTGGAATAGAACCTGTGGAAAAATGCATGTACTGTGTTTAGGCAGAGTAGGGATTTGGCTACATGGGATGAAAATTTAAAGTTAAGGTTGTGGGCTGGGGATTTAGCTCAGCAGCACAGCGCCTGCCTGGCAAGTGCAAGGTTGTGAGTTCGACTCCCGGTACCGGAAAACAAACAAACAAAAAATAAATAAAGTTAAAGTTTCTTGAACTTTCTAGAAGTTGTTCCTTGTGGAGGTTGCTTCCTGTACATGACACATCTTCATTCTTTCTTTCATCCCTTTCCCTCCCCTCCAACTCTCCATTCCTTTCTCATTTGAGAAAAACTTATCTCGCTACTATTAATCTAACTTTTACTTTGCTCTTTATTTATATTTTGGGTTTCTCATATAAGAAAAACCAGTTGATATTTAAGCTTATGTGTCTGATTTATTTCACTAAACATTATGGTCTCAAGGTGCATCTGTTTTCCTACCAATGACTCAAATTTATCTCTCTTTTTGGCAGAGTAGTATTCCATTGTGCATCAATACCACAATTTCTTTGTCCATTCATCTGTTGATGGATATATAGGCTGCTTCCAAGATTTAGCTATTATGAATGATGCTGCTATAAACGTGTGAGGCATGGTACTTATGATAACAAAAGACTGTTCTTTTCTAATATAGATTATGAATGAAGAAAAAGAAACTTAGTGCTTAGTGCTTAGCTTAGATCTTTTTTTCTTTTTTTGAGACAGGGTCTCGCTCTGTAGTTCAGGCTTGCTTGAACTCACTATGTAGCCGAGGCTCACCTCGAACTCACAGTGATCCTCCTGCCTCAGCCTCCTAAATGCTGGGATTACAGGCATGTGCCACCATGCCCAGCAGCATAGGTATTTAAATAAAGGATTAAGTAAAACCATTAGCACAAGATTAACTTTTAAATACCTACTATGGCCCTAACCAACTTCATAATCCATATTCTCTAAAGAATCCAAACCTGCAGGCTGCTTAACATATTTGAACATTAAAATATTTACAAAATGGATTTTAAAAAACCTTAAGTCAATACAAAATTCATTCTTAAGAGAGTTTTTATATTTTTCTTGATTCTTTTTTGGACAACAAAAATATCCCATAAAGGCCAATTTTGGGAAGAAAAACTGATTCTGCTGCACATTATACTCTGCTAGCACTACCTCTTTGAGTATTTTTTTAAAATGTGGAGTTTAAAGTCTCTGCAGAAACCATCTACAAAGTAATAAAAATGCAAATTAATAAAATATCCAATGCTTATAAACATTAACTTTCAAGTCTTCAAAACTATCTTTCAAGTACAAAAGCCAGAGAAATGGAACTGCTGTCAGTTAAAAGGAAGCGAAGTACTAGTAGTGTTGCTGCATTTAATTTTTTTATCATGTGTAATTTTATTGCTTGGTGCCTACCAGAATAGTCAGATGTTTAAAAATTTAATAATTAGCCAGGTATAGTGGTTCACACCTATAATCCCAGCACTCAGGAAGCTGAGGCAGGTGGATTGCCATAAATGAGGCCAGTCTGGCGTACATAGTGAGACCTTGTCTCAAAAAAGCCAAAACGAAAACAAAAACACCCACCTCAAAACAAAGCAAAAACCAACAACAACCATCCCCAGTATGTTCTACTTATTCCCCACCTGAAGTACACTAGAAGGAAGAGACAAAGCCCAGAACCTCCCCAGTGTCAGGTACCACAGCAGGGAACAGCAAGGAGAGAGCCAGAGGGTCCTGCGGGCTACAGAAGGTGGTGGCCAGATGGAACTAGCTGTGAGCGCAGGAGTCAAGGGCTTCACACTGCACTCACAACCATCCCTCCCACACCTGAAACAAAGCCCTGGGAGCTTGCGGATGGCAAGGAAAACCAAGATCCAAATACTTGCAAACCAAAAATGACTCAGGGACTCGCCCCTTGCTCCTTGCTGTGCTCCCCAGAGGATGAGAGCAGCTGTGCATGTCTACGGGTGTCTGCGGCACTTTTAAAAACATCAAGGTCTGGAAGAAGCGGAGTTGCATTCTATCACCTAACTATATGTGGTTAGGGGTCAGGGGTATAGCTCAGTGGCATGGTGCCTGCTTGGCAAGTGTGAGGTCCTGAGTTCGAGTCCCAGTATCTATCTATCTAATTTTTTTTTTTTTTTTTTAGTCAGAAAACCAAGGGCAGAGAACAGAGTGGCTCAGCAGTGGAGGCTCCTGGCGCGGCGGGTAGAGGGCAGTGCTGTGTGAGAGCCGGCTGCTCTGTCCCGTGGCCAGTCTCGCTCTAGTTGAGCTGCACTGCTCTAGCAAACACAACACTTGCATCACTTGAGAGGGACCTAGATCTAGGTCAGCAGCAGTTGTGGGTGGCAGCGAGAGAAGGCAGTCGTAGTATTGCCTAAGTCCCAGCCATGTGGGATCAAGCAGCTTTCTCAACGGCCCCTGTAAAAGGATGTCCTCTTTTCTCCACAGGAGATGAGCACATGTTTCCTCTTAGGCATTTTAAACAAAGAAATCATGGCTTCCGTGGGTCACTAAAGAGAATATACTGGCATGACCAATTTGATATTTTCAATGCTGTTCACACGGGAGATCTTTAAGTGTAGCCAACTGTCTCAGAACATCATCTTAAGGCGTTGAGAAAAGGCTGAATTTTACAAGCTGGTCATTCAACATTCATTAATCCATTAATAAAAGTTAAGAGAGAAGAAAAAAGCCAAGTCAGTGAAAAAACAAAAGCTAGAAAGAATGACTGCAGCAGGAGGGAGAAAAAGTGAATAATTTAGGCTCTTCTCTCCTCAGTGTATTTCCTATAAACAACAGGCCAGTGTGGCAGGCCACCCGCTTCAATCCACCTGTCAAGAGCTGCTCCCCAAGCCCAGCCCCGGAGACCCAGCCTCGCGCTCCCCCAGCACTCACATCCCTGGGTCTCACCAGGGCTTGCTGAGGCAGAAGGACTCAGCCTGCCTCTGACACCTCAAGTCACAGCTCCCAAGACAGGTAGTCACGGTGGTCAATATTGTGACATTCAGAGATGCTATCAACATGCTCCCACGACAGCAAGACAGATCCGAAGGAGAATATGGAATTTCTAGCTCCAATACAACAGAATATGGGTTTGTTTTTCTGGTGGCTAAGTCAACCATGCCAAGTTCCATGATGCTGGTCAGTACAGAAGGGAGCTGGAGAAGTGGAGGATGGCACTCCCGCCCCACTGAGCTGACAGGTGGGTTCCAACGAGAAATTCACAAACTTTAGAAAGTTTCTCTCCAAAGGAACTCTAGGGGTTGGGGATGTGGCTCCGTGGTAGAGCTCATGCCTTCCATGCACAAGGCCCTGGGTTTGATCCCCCTAGCACCACACACACACACACACACACACACACAAAATAAATAAATAAAATAAAATAAAATAAAATAAAATAAAATAAAATGAACTCTGGGCATAAGGTACTTTCCACTCCAGCTGGATGTCACTTCCTAAGTTTCTACTTTGCCCACCATTATGGAACATTAACTGTTGTGTATCAATCATGAGAGGGCCGCACCCATTTAAGATAGCTTCTGACATAACCCTGCCTTAAAAATGCACCCCCTCCCATGAGTTAACATCCAATCACAAAATACAATCTTCATCTTTCATATCACAGGCCGACAGGGACTTTCACAAGTCCAGAAAGTCAAGAACAAACCTAACTCAATTTTACAATAAATTCATTAATAAAAAATATTTCCAGGTATTCAGACTCACCAACCACTCAAAATAAAACAAGGATACTAAATTTTATGTGTGCAGAAAAACTAACTTGGAGAAATTTATACTTTTTTTTCTGTTTTTTACATTCTCCTTTTAAATTTTTATTGGTACATGTATGCAGTGCATAATGACAGAAATTTATATTTATTGATGATAGCAGAATTTCACAAGTAAGTGTAGGGATGTAGCTCAGTGGTAGAGTACTTGCCCAACAGGTGCCAAGCCTAAGGTTAGATACCCAGAATCATAAAAAAAATTTAAAAACAGCCAGGCATAGTGGGGCACACCTATAATCTCAGCACTCA